AAGGTAGACAGTAACGAGACAAGGCAAGTGGTGACAGGGAAACCTGCAGCAAAAAAGGGGAGCAAACTGTGTTGCTACGGAGAAGAGAAAAGAGGAGTTGAGGGACCTGGCAGGGGAGAGAAATTCAGAATTTGGAGCGGTCGCTGGTTTTGGCAGAGACGGAGTTCCTCTCAAGAGGACGCCGAATTATGGGCGGCCAAAATTTGATTAAGCCGTATTTAAATGAGCCGCGAGAGCGTAATCCACTTGGCAGTTGTTGATTGATCGCCACGAGAACGTCAATTTTGGCGGGCTAACGCCGCTAACTCGACCCGGGGAACACCGCCCAAACCGGCAACATTCATCATGACGCTAACTCGCTACAACTGTTAATTGTCGCCAGCAGCACGGGCCGGCCAGCAGACGTCGAAAATTTGCAAATATTTGCAAGAGTCTCGTGCTTGTGTTTTGAATTCTAAACAAAGGACTATCTTTTGGCGTGAAGGGGGTTAATGTTATTGTTTTCTGCATGATTGCGTCTCTTGATTTGAGGCCCTTCATCGTCTGGTGAAGATTCCTCTCCTTGGTAGATCACAAATACGAAAATAATGAAGAGATGCTCACGACATGTTTACAAACGAGACGACTCGAACGCAGAGGGAATGGTTGTTGAAGCGACTGAAGGAAAGAAATGGAAGATTTGTCGAGACACTTTGATACCAATCGTCAAACAAAAGGCGATGTACTCCTCCTCCTCCTCCTCCTCCTTCTTCTTCTTCTTCTTCTTCTTCCTCCCCTCCTCTCTCGTTTTTCCCCATGCAGCCTACATGCGCACGACGGCTGTATCTCAGTTAATTAAAAACTTGGGGTAACACACGTACATTTGAAGCTCGATTCTTCTAGGAGACGTATTCCCCGGATAATGATCCGACTGGCAATCGTCGTCACTTTTCGAAACGACTTACATCGGGTCTAGATCTATTCTAGGGTATTAAACATCATCAAAGACCAGAACCAAAACTTACCTGTGACAACCCCAGATAAATGGAGACGGTCTCCGAGATGTACAAGAACCGGCCGTCGCTGGCTAGAATGAAGGCGAACCCATCTAACGACTGAAACAAAGAAAACAATGATGCGTTAGTAAAATATAACCTCGTATTTCTGATGGGAAAATATGTAGTTTAAAATTTAGTCTGATTTATTTTTACCTTAGTAAGAGTTTTATGGCACCTGTAACATAAATAGGTCATATAAGTGCCGAAATGTATCATGTAAAAAAGGAGCAGAGGTAAGGACTTTAGATCTAGATGTCTTGAAAGGAAAGAAGGAGCAAACCAAACCAGAGTGTCTGCCAACCACCCACGAAGTATATTTTTTATGTAAAAAGAGAAACCTTCTACAAAATTATGATAGCCTGACTTTGTATAAACCAGAGGAATGTTTCCCCATTGAGCTTAAAACCGATTGTGTTGCGTTGTGAGAGACTTGTAGCACCTTTGAAAAATCTTTATACGAGTACTTTCACCAGCAGAATCTTGGGGAAGTTTCAAAACTTTACATTACACACAATTACAATACCAGCCTTTCCAGAATGATATATTCATGTA